AGGCGAGTTGAGGCTTGTTTAATTTTAAGTCCTAGTTAGAGATCTGCATGGGCCTAAAAATTTGTACTTTTGCCGGCTCGCACGGCCCGCAAAATAAAATTTACTATGTTTTTTAAAAGTTTGGCCCACAAATTACTATGTTCTTGATACACCAGGCCCACAATTTGAGAGATTTTTAAATTTTTCAAATTTCAGCCAGCCTGTGCAGGCCTCTACTTGATCTTATGAGGCGACAACATTGCATATAAGATGTATAAATTATCTCTTTATAAAATATATTTAATTAACAAAATTAGTAGTAATATATATATTAATAATTAATATTTATATTTATTTTCAATGCCAATTATACTAGATTTTCTATTATTTAACAATAAATGTCCTGTGTTATCTGTAAATATAAATACTTCTCATTTTAACAGTTAATAAGCATTTACCTTTTCAATTTATATTTGATTCTAATTTCTTTTTTATAATATATACTATCCAAATTTGTTTCTATTTTATTATCTATAACAATAATTTTTAGTAGTAAATGAATGCTTTGTATTTATTTTTTTAACCTTAATTCTATATTCAAGTAATAACTAATTATCTTCATTACTCATATTATTAAATTATCTTATTACTTTATATAATATTCTAAATTTTTTATAACTTAATAAGTATTTTGCACTTATTATTTTAATTTTTATTTCATCATATTACTAAATGCCTTATTTCTATTTTTTATATATAATTTTTTTAATTAAAAAAAGTCTTTTTTATTAAAACTTAGTAAGTTTTGAATTGAAATATAGTTACATTTCTAATAAAGAAAAAATAAGTAAATCTAAATTCCATTTGGCTGTTTTATTATTAGTATGATGTTTTCTACCTTTCTAAACTAAATCTGCTTTCTATTTATCTAACAATAAAATTTCATCATTTTTATTTTTGAATTAGTTCTTATATTCTCTAAACTTAATCTATTCTTTAATTAGATTTTCATATTTTTGTTTTTTTTTACAACAAGATCTTTATTTTTTTCAAGAATTTGATTTTTTTGATTATAAGATTTAGTAGTTATCTCTTCTTCAACATTACTATCATTATTTACTTGATAATCTAAATCCGTATTAATTAATTCTTGTTCAATATTTTTATTACTTAATATAGATATTGTAATATATAGTTAGTAAATTTGGTTATTATATTTTTTTGTGTTCTTAATTTACAAGACCAAAGGATATTACTTTGAATTTGACTTATTGCCAAGATTTTACTTTGCTATAATATTATAAGACAAATATTAATCAAAATTATTTTATAGTAATTATGATTAAAGTACATAAATTTATTAATAAAAATCAGTGAAACACAATTATTATTTTCACATTATATTAAATACTGAAGGCTTTAACAATATATAACAATCACATAACTATTAAAAAAAAATACAAATAGTTTTGAAAATTACTAAGTTAATTTTAATAATTTTATAAGAACTAAAATAATTTGTACTACAATGTATACAGCAAATAAAAATTTTTAGTAACCAAATTTGAATTTTATTTTTTATATATATAAAGGGCCAATTTGAAAATTTAGCTAATATTTATATATAAAGTAGCCAAATTTTAAAATTTTAATATATATTAAGTGGTCAAATTTTAAATTTTTAATATATATTAAATTTTTATTTTATTTTTTTTTTATTAATATAATGCCATAGTAGAAACTTTATTACAAATAGAAAAATAATTCTAAAACTAAAGATTT